GAATATAATTAACTGCAGGACAACAGCCTTTGTTAGAAATACATTATTTTTACATCTTTTAGTCATAATCCCTTCCTTTTCTTAAATTTTTGTTTCATTTATGCTTTCATTTATATGGCTATCTTGATTTACATAGGAAACACTGCTGGATTTTCTCTAAAATATGCCACGTGAATTAAGGGATTATGTAAAATATCAATTACATAAAATATTATAGAATTTATTACAAAAATGAAAGTTTACTTTTAAGATATACACATGATCATTTTTAATCTCCTTAACTATCACAAAGTTTATTGCACTTGGAATTCATTACCCTTATAACTGAAAAGTTTAGTAGCCAACAAGTGAAAGTCATAGAAATACCACTGATATTATCTGATCGCTATTCCTTGGTTGCAGCGTACTGCGTCCTCTCTGTGAATAATAAAAAAGAGCAGTTGGGAATTTTTTTTTTTGTCTTTGGGAACAATAGCCAGCCCCAGGCTCTGAGAGTCCACCCTGCATTTTACTTCAGCGTAATTTATCTTTCAAAGCAAAAAAATATTAGCACTGGTATTAACTATCCTATTTCTGAAAGAATTCTTTCCAATAAGAAAAGAAGCAAGTTTATTTTGAGGATACCATTGCCCATCTATTTCAGAAACAAAGCGGTATCTTCAGAACAAATTAAGTAATTGTTTATACAGTCTAAATTCATCCTTTATCTTCATAGCCTTACTATTCAAGTGTAATTCCAGAGAGTTTACCATGCTTTTATTTTCCTTAGCTGGCTCTCTATCTTAACCAATGACATTATAAACCTATTAAAAGGGAGTTTTGAATAAACTCTTTATTCAACTGAATTGCTGGAACCAGTCTATACATCTACTCAAAAAAAAACCTTCTTACTTGGTAGGCAACAATTCCATTGACTGTAATTGCAACTTCATTTTAAGAATATTTCCCATCCTGAATGTAAAAAAAAAAAAGGGGGGGGGGGGGGGCAGGATTTTTTTAATAAGAGAAGGAAGAACAATTTGATGGAATCAAATCTACAGTCTCTGCACCTTCAGTCTGGATTGCTGCAAATTGTCCTAAGGATGAAATAGTACTCCCTGAAAAAGCCCAATTGCTACTGAGACTAAATGCCCACCTACTTTTAGCAGAGGTAACAATCACAGTGAACAATTCACTGGCCCCAGTGGAAAATCGCTGAATAAATAATCTAGTGCAAGGCCTCTGGCCTGATATTCACAGCTCTTGAGGGGACTAAAGGTTTGAAAGACTGCCTCTACACGTGACAGCTATTTTTCACTTGGGTAATGAACGTGCCTAACCCTTGGGAAAAAATGGACAACATTCGAAGTACCTAGACTATACCATACAATCTAAAAAAAAACAAAACCAAAGAGATTAAATCAGTTTTTAAACACTTTCAAAAAACGAATGCATCACTTCAAGCCAATTACACCACACAATAATTAAGTTATTTCTTCCACAGATGGGTACCACCACCATTATACGTAGAGGCATGAAGTAAGCGCATTTCAGAATTTGTGTGCAGATTCCTGAAAGCCCTGATTTTTCAAGTGGGAAATTTGCCAGAACTAGCAGGCTTATTCAAAAATAAAGATATTTTCTTCTTGATGAGTAACACAACTAGAATCAGTAATGATTCTTGTATTGCAAACTGATTTGATATGTACTTCATAGCTAAATATTACTACAGCATAAACGCATTTCACTTATTTAAGAAAGTTAAGATCTGTGTTTGAAAAATTTTTCTCAAAAGCTCTGAGCGATGAAAACCTCATTTTGCTGTTTGCCATTATTCATATTTTGCTTTCTAGATCTTTAAATCAAAAAAACCTCAAGAGTTACCCGTTACAAGGATGGATATTGGTCTGACTGCTACATAAGTCTGCAGTTAGAGAATTGTCCCCTACAGAATGTGAGGGACTACTTCATCCCTCCCCAGCCTTTTTCCCAGCATATATAAACCCAATGTATAAAAGCCCAATGCATTGTGTAAGAATACATGTCATCTGCCTTTATACTAATTTGAAACCAAGATTACAGACCACTTTAAATTATGTAGTCATTATTTTTCTTTTTATCCCAACATTTTAGTTCAATAAACCAATCAGAAATGCATTTTCCATTGACAAGAGATTATGAATGGAGAACCATTAAAGCACTTAAAAAAGCAACCATTATTAATGATTTAGTCCTTTGAAGTATCAATTACTGACTGTAGATAGTTTCCAGCAGTCTTTATTATAATTACTGTATGTCATTGAATAGTCTTTCCATGCAAACACCATGAAATCATGAAAATAGAAAAGTTTTGTTTCAGCCCACTTTTTCCATAAAATCACCGTTCTTTTGTAGAATACAGTTCCCATAAAACAGTAGTGTACTGTGAGAGGAGTGTAGAATAGAGTTAGTGTATGCAATAAGGTTGTAGCCAAAAAGGAAGGTGTGTTATATCTTTCTTTTAGCTTTTTGTTATTCCTCAAAAAAACAGTTAAAATCTGGTTTGTCACAAAGCTAAGAGAAACTAAGATTTTAGTTTTACAAAATTATTTTGTTTGATTACTTGGAGGTCTCTCATAGGTGACTATGACAGAAGAATAAAACAGAATCACCAGTGAAAGTAGAGTAGACCAGTTGGAATACATGAAAATTAAAATCTGTAAAAAAAAAAAAAATTCAATATGTAGGATATTAGTTATTTGTTGTGGAAAAGTCTCAGTAATTTTAAAAGGGGAACTGCTACAGTCTTTTCAACTGCTTCATTTTCTTTCATGGAGGCCCACAACTATGTGGGAACACAGTGACTTTTGGAAAAACTACATTTTCAGCCCCCAGAACACAACGAGACCTAGGTAACAGCACCACAAGCTTCCCTGCAGTATTTTTTTTTTTTAAATTAGGCTTCACAGTACTGTTATGTAGGACCCACCTCTAAGAATAAAAAGGGTAGTGCCGTCTCCCAGCACCCATCCAACCCTTCATTTCTTACCCAAGACTACCAAATAAAGAGGTTGTTATATTGGTTACTCCACATCAAATGAACTGAGATCACCAGCTCATTTCTTAAAAACCAAGGAAGAATTGCTTTAGTTTAAAATAAGAAGGAAAGTAATGAATATAAAGTTTAGCCCAAGAACCCAAAGACAGAAGAGACTCTCCTTTCAGGAGTTCCTGTTATGACTCATTTAAAAGAAATCTCCTGTCTTATCTGCCTTCTGGTGCACATGTCAATGCTATGGATTTCACATGTGACCCATCAGCATCTCAAGACAGCATTTGCCCGTATTAACAAATATAATGTTTGTCAACTTTGCCTCATGGTAATTGCTAGTTCATATCTGTTAATCTGTTTGTTATTAGAAGATAATTTCAATCAGAATTCTTAATCCAGGACTGAAAGAACTGTTTTTAAATAATGAAGAAAATCAAAGCTTAAAACCAGTTTGCGTAACTAGGTCTAGAATTTATTACTCCTGAGAGAACAAAGATACAAAATACATGTGAAAACTACACAAAGATTTCTACAAAGTAAAAAGTAGAAAGTGGGAAAAGGGAAAGCTACAGTTCAGTGGTTACACAGAAATGTATGGCATGCATTAAAATATTGTAAATTCATGAAGTTTTTTTTAAGTGCAAATGGTTTTTTTAACAGTTCTCACTGAAAAATATGCAAATTGATACCTATGTTGTACACTTGTCATATTATCAGAAAGACACCAACACAAATCTATGCACAATACACATCAATATGTCTGAAGTACATTTTGTGGTTTTGTTATTTGTAGGCACTGGTTACAAATCTGTTCAATATTCATTTTCAGAAATTAAGTGGTAGCACTTATAGAACATTTCTCAAATACTACTAATAAAGGAATTTGTTTTTAAAATACCAAGAGGATGAAATAATTTGCATTGCCATTTATAAGCATCCAACAACCAAAGAAGTATTTACAAATCATCAACCATACAGATAAAGAACAGTATCAAATACTCTGTGTAAAAAGATAAATAATTAAAATGTATATTCCCACATCACAAAGAAATGATATCATACAAATTATGGCACCATATGTTTGTGAAACATCAAAAATAAATGTGGCACATAGATACCTCTTCTCATATTTTACATTAAAATGTACAGTACAATGACTGTAAAACGTCACTGTCACAACACCCATTGTCTTCAAACTCTTGTTTCTGGTAATAGCAATTATTATTAGAGTCCATGTTTATAAAGAAATTCCATACTTCAGCCTTGGGCTAATATTGCTCTGTGATATTGCTAGACCATGAAACTTACATCCTAAAAAAAGTTACATATTTTCTTTAAAATTATCTAATAGAAAGAGCTATTTCACATGTGAATATTGTGGGAGAAAGTGTGATAGATGCAATCTATTTCTCTGTGTAGCAAAGTATGGGTTAAAAAAAAACTGTAACATTTTTATTTTTAGTCACAAATATCTAATTTATTAGAGGAATATTTTTTAAATTAAGGTTTATCCATTTCAAATTTTAATCATAAACAGTACTGTAATTTTCAACACATAATTAGGGTTCCTGCTAAAGCACTTAAACTTCCCAACCCTAATCATGTATCTCATTATGGCAAATGGATCAGAAAATCTGGAACGCAACAGTGTTATGCAGCTCAAAATGCTGATATCCTGTTTTGTACTCCTAGGGTAAAGAATGAGATAATTATAGCATATGGATGTATTTTAAAGGTTTGTCTGCATGTGTCCATTTTTGGCCACATGCTAAATCCAAACAAAAGTACATTGTTAAAGGCAACCAGAAATATTACAGTTAGGACAGACTAAGGCAATGAAAATCTTTTTTTTTTTTTTTTTTTTTTGGTAAAAAAATTAAGGTGCAGAGAGAATTTTCTTTCTTGTTTTAATGGGTGCCAAATACTGATTAACAGTGCCAAGGAAAAGTAGTTTTACATGAAAGGAAAGACTATTAAAATCTAGAAATACCTGAATTGGATCTTTGATATCCAGATTTTTCCTGATTACCTGCAAAAGGAGTTGGGGGTGGATAGTTGGCTTCTGTGAGTTTACTGATGTCTGATGGTGGTGTTGGCGGTGGCGGTGGTAGCAAAGTGCTGTTAGGGCTACTAATATCTCCTTCAGCCACAAGAGTCAAGTCTGCCACATTCTCATCATCTACCATCTGTATGCCTTCAGGTTGTAACTCTCTTGACTGCCTTTTCCATATTGTTGCATTGTTTTCCTGTGCATGCGGAATTGGAGACAATGCAGTATTAAAAGGAACACTGAAAGTCTTCTGACTGTGGAGTGCTGTCAGAGCAGATTTATGTTTATTTTCTGAATAACCCATTTTCTTAACTGAATTTTCATTAAAGTTTTGTACGGACTCCTGTTTTCCACTTGGTGATGTACATCCATCCTTGCCATCATTTTTTGAAACTCGCTTGTTGAGGCCTTTAGGGCCTGTGGGAGTAGATGAGGATGGTTCTGGTCCAGTGGGCGGTAAACGAAGAAAGTCAGGAAGAATAAGGTCTTCTTTCCTTAGCAGTCCACGTTGGTCATCTGCTCTGTTACTTTGAGCTTTGGATATGAGTTCAAAAAATTCTATTGGGGAAAAACCCAAAATTGACAGGTTTTTGTCAGAAAGTGCAATGTCATTAAAACGTACATTTTCAGCACATTTATTTTCCATGAAGATCTTCAATTCTTTCAATGCTGCCTTGAAATAAGATCCCATGTTTATTAGGAACTTTTTCAATTGCAGCAATGTTCACTAGCATCACTATAATTAAGACCATCAGGATTGCTATTGTAAGAGTTTTGCAGTTTAGAACAGCTGCAATTCACTGAGCCTTGAACACATCTTCTATTTTATGCAGTTAATAAATCTGTACACACACACAGGATTTTTAAATTCTTTATACAAAACAAGGCTCTGGTCTTACTGACAATGGGTGCACATTTTTATATTCTGGATGGTTTTTACCCATCTTAACTCAAAAATAGCCACGCCATTTGAAAGTTCAAAGATTCAAAATGTTGCAAACTTCCTTGTTATATTGAATTTCTCTCAGTTTAATAGTATTTTATCACAGTTTAAATTCAATTCATGGTGTAGTTTTAACCCAGGATGATATCATCATGGGGCATGATCAGTTGATTTAAGTAACCCCATTTTACTTTGCACTGCAATGAATCAGCAGCATATAGGTAGTCAATAACCATCAAAGGAGCCATTACTAAAAGCAATGGGGCAACTTTTTTTTTTATAGAGTTTTTAACACAATTAGAAGTGATTTTCTGATCATGTCCTTAATGATGTCCAATGGTTTAATATGTTTCTATATATAAATAATACTCATAGTAAATCACCACTGTTCTAGAAAGTGTCAAAACTTGGCAACAAGAAACTTATCAATCATAAGCCAAGAATTATACCACTCCTCAAAAAAGAAACATCGCAACAATTAACAGACTCTTTGGTACAAAACATATAAATATAAAAATATGTAACTCTTAATATAGGGTCTCTGCATATCCTAATTTTTCAAGAAGAGAGCATTGATGAATTAAAATCAATAGTTTCAACCTAGCTTATAAATACTGTTTGAAGCAAAAGCCATTACAAAATAAAGCACAAAACGTTAGTATCAGTTTTAACTTAGTGTAATATGAAGTAATACACTTGCACTTGTATGACCTTATTCCTAATCCTCTATTCATATTTGGCAGGCTTTGCAATGTATTTGTAAAAATGACTTTTTAACATGCTTTGTCAAATGCCATAAAATCTGAATGTAGCCAAGATGGAAGCTTCAAAATGCTTCTTATTGCCAAAGTTTTGCAAAATGGCAGTATGCATATTAAAACATGCAACATTCTAGTATGTGTCATACAAAAATGTTCCTTTTTGAAATTTCAAACTTCATAGAACAGTTGTTTTTCTTTTTTCATTAAAAAACAATCTACAACATTTAGTACGTATTTTCCAAACTTGGACAAATTTCACAAAATTCAAAATAAAATGTGAAAGCCTCGAATTCTGAAGTTTTCAAATTATGTTAATGTTTTACTCAGCCCTAGGAAGAAAAATGAAAATATTAAAATATGGAAAACAAGTTAACAAAATAGTAAGCAACAGAAAATAATTTAAAATGCACTAATATTTTGTAATAACACTTACATTAACAAACATCTACTTTGCAATAAAAGTTTTAGTCACAGCATTTTTTTCCATTCCAGTCAGTGGACATTTATTCACAGATGAACATTCATTTGCCATATAACTGTGCATAACCAGATTTTGGATATGCATATTAGGTAACATCAGCAGTAAATTTTAATCTGTGGGTAAAATATGTCCTCTGATTTTTTTCTATTTGGGAAAATAGGAAGGAACGTGTAGGGCTGACAAGACAAGTAATTGCTTCAGTTAATGCCTTAGGGCAGAGGGTGGTATGTCAAGATTTCTACTGCTACATCGTTTTTATTCCTTTCTCCCATGGACATCTCTCTACAAGAAAGCAAATTCTCTTATGAGTTCTTTTCCAATGATATCACCAAAACTATTAAGATGTAATTAAAGGTAAAAATAGGACTCAATATACAAGGTTACCAATAACCTCTTTGCTTATTTCTACTTCTAACCACCTTTTCAGAGAGTTACTGAATGTAAACTAAGCTTCTACTCTTGCCCATCACAGCTCCTCCACAGTCATCAGATTGTACTGCCCTGACTGTTATATATAGCATAAAATTTTCAAAAATTCTTACCTGAGTAAATTAGGGTCTACACCATGGTGCAGAATGCCTTTCAGTGAGTTAAAGATTCTTATGTAATGGTGAACAGAAAGGCAAGCTTCTACATGGCTTGCAAAGGGTATCGAATGGGATATTCAATTGCAATTAACTGATTCCTTTTTATTTTACCTGGAATTAGGTAGCTTTCACTTTTTAAAATCCCACTAGGCACCTAAGTCTATCTCTAGGTATTCTTAAAATTTTACCTTCAGCTTCAAAAACTTTACAATTCAAACAAAGTGTCAAACAAAAATATAAGGATCATGACTATGATTTTCACAATGCAGTATTAAACACACGGTACTTTTTCCTACACAGATATAAAATTCTCATTTTTCTAAGACTACTTATGTTAATACATAAACTATAAAGTTCACATACCCTCTGCTTCATCCAAATTTATTTTCTGACATTTTTTTTTCCCAATCTTTGCAATAGAGTCTTCTCTCTTTGACAGCCGGACTTCCCTAGCATTTTTTCCATTTTCGCCTTTCATTTTGATAGAATTAGACTTTCCTAGAGTTCTTCCCTCTCCCTGCATTAGAAGGAAAGTTAAGGTACTACTTACATTTAGGCTATATCATTGTGTACATAATATGGTCTAAGTGAATAAAAAACTTAATTTGAAAACACATTTCTCTAACACCACCAAAACAAATGTTTTAGTTTAATCCTGATTATCGCAAAGAACATTTGCCATAGTACTTCCCAAAAATGTATAAATAAATATAATATTATTTACTCTGAAGAATTCACATTAAAGAAAGGGCCTTTGAATTTCAGAGTAATTCAATCACTTTCAAATATAGATAAGCCAATGACACACGAAACAACAAATACAACACACTGAAAGAGCTATTTGATTCGTCATGAAGACAAAGTTCTCACAAATAAATGCTGTTGACAGTGGAAAAGTATCGGATGAATTACAGCTATACTCAATCTAGTTACATAATTTGGCTGATTCAAAATAATGGATGAATGCAGAACGAATTTTACAGAATTCCAGAAGGAAAAAAAAGATGATCTAAGGGACAAAAATCATTGCAGAAGACTTACAGTAGATACTTGATTTCTTGAAGTAGTTACAGTTGCACTCTGTTTTACTGATGCACCTTTTTGTTTATCTGTAAACACTGAACATAAACATACCTTCTATAACTACAAATTTATAATTTCCCAAAGAAGTAATATTTAAGTGACAATGATGCACAAAACAGATTTTTTGCTTTAAAATTTCTCAAAGATGTACTCAGAAAATAAGAGTTAGCACAGTTGATATCCCTGACACTTTTCTGTCAAAACCTACCAGAATCTCCCTCTTGTCTTCAAATTTTCCTAATACTGGCAATACTTTTAAAGTTTAAAGATGCTGAAGTTTCATTTAAGTTCTCCCAAATTTTCAGTTGGTTTAGACCAAGTAGCTTCTAAAATCTCAGCTAATAATTCAGTTGGTAATTCTCAAATTTAAAATTTAAACAAGAAAAAAAAATTCAGCAGAAAAGACCATTGAAAGGCCATGCTGAATCTTTTCCAACCTGTTTCGTGCATCAATTGTTTTCTAGGCATTGCCATATCCTCCTTGACTACTTCTAAGTAACTAAATGGCTCCTCCAAATTACGTTTGCCATACTAACCGAAGACTGAGCTGCAAACACAGAATCATGGCCCTTTTTCATTGGTATGTTGCCACAGAATCAGCTTACTGCTAGAATGATCCTCTATGATCTAGGCTTTTATAGCAGCTAGCAGCAAACAGGATTACAGTTTTATTTGTAATCCTTAAACTAATTATCTGTGAGAGTATTTAGATTTATATCTTTTTTCAAAATGACAATTGGTTCTGTTTCCTCGAAAAATGACAATGTCTGATTCTCCTCAATAAATACCTGCATCTTTATTCTAATTTCTCCTCAACGAAGATCTCTGCTCTAAGTGAATTTAATTTAACCACATCTAATTTCATTTTTAAAACTCAGTGTCCTATATCTATAATAAGGTCTCCTAATGAAACTGAACTTTTACTCTCAAGGCTGCTTACATTCATCTAGCATGTTAATTGTGCCAAAAGATTGTCAGCTGTTCAGTTCATCAACTTCTATTTTTCAAATTATTTTGTCCAGGGAAATAAAAAATTATATTCTTTTTAGTATTATCTCCAGAAATCATCACTTAAAACTGGAGATGTAGGCTCTGCTACTTTCTCATGTTAAAGAAGGGGGTTATCATAGCAGTATATATAGCTGCTGCACAAACCGCACCTGTTTTACTTATACAGAATGTTTCTTTTGAATTAATTGCCAAATTCACAGAAGTTATTTGGCATTTTATTCTCACTATTATTACTGGGCACTATGTCCCTAAACGTGTGTGTGGATCTATTGCTGAGTGCAAGTAAAATATTCAAGTATTACTAGTGCAAAATTTCTTACAGAAACAGTAAAGTACTTGGTATCAATAGATTAATTTAACCTTCAATCTTTAGAAACTGCAATCCTTTTTAGTCAAAAAGAACATATGCTATATGTGACATCCAAATCTAATCGCATTTACCTCACCTTCACATCAACAGAAGAAACTAACCAAAGTCAGGGTTTATGAAACTGACTTGACATCATAAATAAAAGCTTTTATGCCAACTTACCTCTACCCTTTGTTGGCTCTTTTTCATCTAGAACAACCCGCTGACCATCCAGATTAGATATAGGGACACCAAGATCAAGTGGTTTCTGCTCACCATTCTAAAGTCGGATTACAGTTTGTATATAATAGAGAAAAGGCTGTTTTCAACACAAATTTATGCAGTCTGACATTTTTTGAAAGAAAATGAGCAAAGAATTTTTATGTTTTAGTGTAGCCTAAATATATCTTTCTTCTACCATTCTAAAAATGTTTATTCCATTTGTGTAAAACTATCTTGATTACAATGAGTGTAACCCATTTATGTGAGGAGAATGGTATCTGGGGAAAAGAAGATACAAGGAGAAAAAAATCATCCAATTTGCAAGCGGACCATTAGTGTTTATGTCCAGCAAATCATATTTTTCAGAGGAAGTCTGAGATTGTTTTATTTTCTAAATTGGTTATACTTTGTTAATCTTGTAATTTTATTAAATGAAGTTATCTTTATACCAACATGTTTTCCAGTTATTTTAAAAACATGGACTGGTTTAGCCAAGACAGTATACATTCTCGAAATACGACAAAAGTAACTTTCTATTCCTTGATATTCCATCATAATAGAATAGAGGAAATGCTAGCTAAGTGTTTAGTAGTAGAGAAGTTGAATCTGTCTGCTCCTGCAGAAATTTTCTGCGAGGGGATTTGAGGCAACTTTCATGATTCCGAGGATAATGGAACAATAGCTTTAACTAATCTCAATCAACTTCCCCTGGCTAATAATGGGAAAAGCAGAGCTCTGGAAGAAGCTAGGTTCAGCCTCTATTATTTTGGATGTTGGATTTATTCTGAGGAGAATATAAAACAGATGCAGACTAAAGCTTTGAGGTAGTTACTATTAAGCATAATGGTTATGACTACTATGCATTTTCATCTCAACATGTAGTTATAAATAGAGATTTTAGTGCCTAATTATAAGCATAGGAATAATTTCAGGGACTATCATATGATCTTCTCCAGACAAAAAAATATTGCAGCTTGAATTACATCAAAAGATACTTACTAGTCTTGCCACAAGTTCATTAAGATTTAAACCATATTTTGCAACTACAGGCCTTAAGACCTCTGTTACTGGTTTGGTGGGTTTAGCCTTCAAACCAACTGATCGATTGATTGGAACAAGATCCAGCCTGAAACACATCAATTGTAACATTAAGTATGAAATATTCCAAAAAAAATGAAATAAGAAAAATTCTTTAAAACCCAAAAAACTATTCCATTTATGTCTATTTTCCAGCACAGCCTGCACAGAACTGTGCCTAGTTTTGTTTTTTTGTTTGGTGTTTTTGGGTTTTTTTTTAAATGCTCTTCATCTGTGCCTTGATTCCTCCATAACAGCCACATTTGACTATAATGGCACTATAGCATGAAAACAAGGGCAGGCTTACTACTAACAAAACTATCAGAAGAAATGTACATCATCAGGAGAAATGAAAATTATTAGTGATTTTGTCAGTCACAATTAAATGTAAACCCCATCTTATCTCTCACACAAATTACTTAAATACAAGATGTTTAGTCTTATTGACTTTTGCCTTCCACAAGAAACCTGAATAACTGAAACTTTGTCTTTCATATTTTCTTTGAATACAACAGCTACCAAATAGAAATGATAAATTTTAATCATCAACTGGTAATTGACACAGAAGTGGCAGACATTCAGGTAACCAAGTATATCCACATAGTATTTGTCTTGTGTCTGAAAATATTCCAAACATTTGAGTATTTTTGTTTACACAGTTTCTACCCACAGAAGGAAATAATGTAGAACATTTCTACATTTTAATTAACACACAAGTAACATATGGTACTGCCTACTTAAAGTTCCTTTTTTAATTCGGAAACTTAACAAACTCACACCTAATGAAAGACTGCTCAATCTTGATTTCGAAATTGAATATGCTATACCATATTCATTAATGTGAAGTACCCTTAAACAGAAACTAGCCTTACTTCCTAAAGAAAAGTAATATAAAGCCAAAATGAAGAATGCCTGGCAAAATAAATTTTATTCACTTCAAAAGCGCGACTCAATAATGTAACACAAACATTCTACTTCATGACTTTTCCTGAAATAATTATTTCAGGAGTTTTCATAGCACTAGTTTGGATTTTTAGAATTTAGGAACATGAAAACATTCTCTGGCATTTTGGAAAAAAATAGAAACAGATTATTTTGAAAAAACCATGTACTATAAAACAATATTACATAATACTAAATATATAATGTACTGAATTATATTTTACCCATATTAATAATAATATTATAACATTGACTTGTTTAAGATTCAGCGTTATAAATCTATACTCAGATGAATTTATATTTATACAATTAATCTTACTGTAATCTGCCAGTTAGGCACATAATAACAGATGTAACAATGAGAACATATAATTAATAAATATATCCATTTAATCTTAAAGTCCTATTTTTTTTTATTGTTGCATTTAGGATTAGACTAGGAGACTTGCAGTTCAATTTCCATCTCACTCTTGTGCTGCTTCAACCTATTAAACATGTTTCTTCCCGATGTGGAAGGTCCCTCTGGGCCTGCAGATCTGTCCTATTGCTTGTTCACAACTGCTTCAGCTTGAGCAGTTAGACATCATAATAATATTTAAATGTCCCTAAACTGGAACACGGGCATCAAAATCCCACTGATATCCAAGAGAGCAATCCAGAAAGCTTCCTCCCGCAGCATTTAAAACTCAGCAGGTGCTGCTCTACTCAGCTTGAAATGTTCCTGTAGGCCCACATTTCTTCCATTGCTCCTTACCCTAGTTACCCTCATCTGAATTAGCTTTTAGAGGTACCCTAATCTCACCATTACCTGTAGAGGAAGCACTTAGCAGCTGGCTTTAAATCTAAGGGATATCAGTGCCTAAACGTAGGCAAGATATCTAACTTAGGCACTTGTGTAACTCAGAGAATCCTCATGCCACATGCATATCTCTTGCATAAGTGTTATTGCAATCTAAAGTAAAAATGGACTTTAATAGAAACTCAAACTGTGAGTTAACTGCAAGACATGGAAGTCAATCATTTTCAGTTACAAACGTTAGGTCACCTTCCTTCTTCACATGGGACTCTTTGCTTGATCCTAAGGCATATTTCTTCTAGTATGCCTGTACAATGAATGGGAACCTCAGATCCCCTAACGCTGGATTCTGGATTACAAGCTAAGATGTTGCATTTCATGGCTAACTGGATTTTTTACTGGATTCAGACAAATTCTTTTCTGCATTAACTACTGTTTTGCTGCACAGGTAACTGACAATATACTTCAGTGCACTTACAAAAAGTAAAATGGAAAATGGGGTGGAAAATGCCAGAGGAAGACAGTATTTTAGACTCTTACCGAAATAAAGTGCGTTTTTCTAAACGTAGGTCCCGAGACTCCAGGATGCTACTGTCTTGGTGCAATACAAGTGGCTACAGAGTCCATGTCAGGAACAAAAGAAGAGAGAGCAAATTAGTTATAAAATATATGAAAAAGAACAGGTGAGTGGTTAAAACAATTTTTCAGATAACTCAGAAAATTATTTATAAAGGTTGTATGCATTCTCATGGATATTCATTTACAATAGGCAACATGATCAAAGTGTATTTTGTTTTGGCAAGTTGTGAGACAATGACCAATCTTCAACTTCCACTGGAGTCAGTAGGTATTCAGGAACTCAGTGTTTTAAAACAAGCCTAGGTCCTTCAACTTAAATGAATTATTACATAGAATGACACCTTAGAAAATATGGCAAGTTAGCAGTCTTTAAAAGATTTAAAAGAACAGGCACATAACTATGCACATTCACTGATTTTTGTCATTGTAATCATCTAGATTGATCATAAGCACAAATTTAAGACAATAAATGTTTCACATCCACAGCTTCTCTTTGAATTGGAGATATTTCAGTTGAATAAGAGCCATCACCCCCCACCAACGCAGACTGCCGTCTTGGAAATTTTCCTCAATATTAAAACATGTACCTTAATTCTAACATGAATTCATCTCATTCACCTTTGAACAACTGAATGTCATTACATTTCTTTGCTTTAATGAAGTACCATCTACTACAACACATTTGTTTTCTTTGTGGATGCTTTCAATTAAGTACAAGCTAACCATTCCCCTGGACAAACTACATGGAGTAGATACCTAAATTAGCTTATTAATATAAGGAAATACTTGTCATAAGCTCTCTTCTGCTTTCTGTAATGTAGATACCACAACCAATCACAGTACTCCACCAGTTCTAGTTTCACTAAAATTCTCCTTCAATTAACTAGCATTGCCAATGTAAAGCTATTGGTAGAACCAGGAGATATATATTACTATTGAGAGAACATAATTCCTTATTAGTAAAATGAGTATGAAAACGCTTTAAAAAAAAGCACAGGAATACCCAATACCTTATCACCTCCAACTAAAAAAAGGTCCACTGCAGCTATGTTAATGCCATGTTTCTCGCAGAGCCCAGATAGCACCTCTTTGATAGAGAATCCGGATTTAACGGCCATTTTGCTGGATGAACCATCCGGAAGGTTTATACAGCAGTATTTGGGGGATTTCTCTTTATCTGGTACAAATGCAGGTAATCTTGAGGCTTCAGACTTGACAGGAAAAAGAAAGAAAAGTCAGTGCCCAATGGGAAAATTAGGAATATACAAAAACTTTTAGAGTCTGTACAAATCAAACCAAGCCAAGAAGCATACTTTCTATCATGTTTACAGTTTAGAAATCCTTGTAAATATCACAAATATCAGATAAATTTAAATCCTGAAAAAAAAAAGTTCAGATAAAAGTAACAGCATTGCACAAATCTAAATGTATGTCAAGAACAGACCAAGTTTTAGACAGCGAGTGTGTAAAACAGGTTACAAGATTCTCAAACTATAGAACAGAACTCCTAATCAAAATGTAAGTAGTAAATAAAATCTTATTTAGCTTCCAAATAGTTAAGTGTCTATACTCAATAATGATCTGCTGATGTAAAAACTGCCATTGGCACATTATGAATCAACATTTAAGTGATGAGGAACACCTTTAAACATCAGGTTCCTCAAACAAAATTTCCCCTTCTTTTAACATAATATGAATGCTACACATACAAATACATCACAGAGAAATTAAAATTTTAAAATAATTCGCTTAATGACCATGCTTTTTTGTTATTAAAGGGAATAAAAAGCACAATGTTATGGGTTAAGGCTAAAGGGCACAGCATTAACCTTTATTCTAGAGTAACAGTAGAATAGTAACACTACTACAAAATATCAAAAGCATCTTCGAAAATTTAACAAAAAGCTCACTTGTAACTTAAAAGGACACTACAAAAATACTGTTTTCAACAGTCTTTTAGGGTACTCATCGTGCTTTTTCCTTTTTCTTTAGCTTGCTGCTTCTCCTTTAAATGACAGTAACTTTCTGACTTAATCAGTTGGAGTGGGAGAGAAAAGAGGGGTGGTTGCTTTAGGGAGGCTTTGCGTTTTCTGTTTTTTAAGATAAGACTTTTCTGCAACAGAAATAAACATGATTTTGTCATGCTTGCTTCCCTGATCAGTATTTGTAGCGTAGGCAAAATTACATAGTTGCTAGAATCTAGTCTACTAGACTACAAAAAAACATTTAAAAATTCCTTTTTTATATTCTTCCTCCATATCAACTAGTTAAAATAAATTTAAAGTATTATATTTATGTTCTACTGTTAATACTGTTTTAATTTTGCATTTCATTAGTTTTACACTGCGAAGGTAGAACTTGATGGTTAGAAATCACAGTGTCTTCACTGATTATTTTCCTACACACTACAACAAAATCACAGTGTTTGCAATGAAGTTCCCTACCTCTCTTTTCTCAGATTTTAGGAGCAGAGTTAAGTCATAATGACAGGAAGAAAAACACACAACTTTAAAAGAAACGGAGAGGAAAGAAGCACGACAGACACTGGTACTACAGAAATCAGCCTAACACAACTTGCATACAGGTCAAGCACAGAGAAAGCTTTAACATGTGGTTGTTCAGAACAGAATTTCAAAGCTCTGGTAGGTGGAAAAAGCTGTTTATAAAGAGCTACAGTAGCTCCCTTTGAAAGGCAAACTTTTATTCTGGAAGTTTACTGGTGCCTGAAGTTAAGACAGACAAGATGCAAAGGATATCCTTCTGTTACAAGGACAAAGTAAGAAGCAATATATGAACACAACCTCTATTACATTTCCAGTATTCTAAAATTGCTTAATACGATATCTTGCCCTCTAACTGTATCACTTAAAGACCCTTTCTCAAAGTATTACTTCAAACAAGTTACTTCACACTACTTAGAAAATTAGTAATTCACTGTTTTCACTGCTTCCCCACTTCTTCATTATTAAGAGGCGGCCATTACCAAGTCAAGACTAGCAGTTGATGACATGGAACCTTGTGATTCCCGTCTGTATGATAATCCATTGGACTGAATAGAATCTGTTTGTGGAAAGAATCAGCAATCAGTAAAAAGGCTTATTTTTACTATTTATTATAATACAGAAAGCTATTTCAAATATTAGCTCCTCTGGTCAGAAAATTAATTTTTTTCATTAAAGGAAAAAACACCAAATCTTCGTACTGTGCACTGAAGCATGGAAAATGGAAATAATATTTGGTCAAGTATTTCTTGGTTATATAACCCTTGAATAAGCCCACTTGCTTTTACATTAAAAAAAAAAAACCCTAAAAACCTTTTTTTTTTAATCTTAAAACTGTTTTTAAAAACTTAAAAATTATTCTACCTCTTCAGATATTTTGAATAAATAAGAGAGAAATATTTTTAAAAGTCCAAGTATGGTGTTAGAAAACTAAAATCTAAGACAATCACTAGTCACTTCCAAAAGTTTAAGTCTATAATCTTAGCAGATGTCTCTGATGTCTTTTCACATATGAATATAATGAGAACACTTAAACTATCCATATGATCAAAGATATCTTGTGGGTCTGGACCTTTACTAAAAGAAACCTCAGTAACAATATGGTCCAAATTTGGTGCTTCAGTGGAATTTCTCTATTATTTTTAACTCAATGGAATGAGTTAATGCAAAACTTTCATCTCTTCCTCTAGAGGCCATGTACAGGTGCTTTCATAGGGGAACTCTTCCTCAAAACTCTCAAAAACAGTTAAGAAACACAACAGCAGATTACAAGGGTTTTCACAACTCTGACTCTTCTTTTTTCATTTTAGTCAGGAAAGGTGGAAACAGGTAGTGAACGTGTTCAAAAGTGAACATACCTGTGTGGTACTAATAAAAGAAAGAAAGGTAGGATAATGCAGATGGAGGAATTTTTAAATAGCTGTAACTACAGCACTATTTGCACGTACAGCTCCTGAACTTCTCTGTGAACAGTTGAAATTATATTACTATAAAAATAGTAGCTCTCTGCTTGAAGCACACAGAAATGCAGAGTCTACTGGAAAGCAGAAAAAAAGTCTCTTGGAAGTCAATAAAAACAAATTTAAATATTTTCATACTTTTATCTATTTATTTGTGCATCTGCTTCCACAAAACTTCCAGTGATACTAACCCCACTGTGGCCTTCCGACTTGACAGTTTCTTTTCCCTCTGTCACACCCAAGGATACACTCAGATGCAAACCAACCATGATGAGATTAGTCACATCTATTGCTGAAACAACTTTGCAACAAAGTGGAATGTGAATACTCACCATTTGGATAATCACCATTTTCTTTTCTCTTCTGTGATTTTCCCAAACTCTTACTTCTTGACCAGGAGAAAAATGTTCCCCTTTTTTTCTTCTCAGTGTCCTCCTCTCCTGACTCTTCATTTAAAGATCTTCCTGACTTTGATTTACCACTTAACTATCACCAAAACACAATTAAATCATTGGTTGGATCACAGTTGTTAATATATTGTCTAAAATAAACCTTCCCACGCTTCTTCCCAAAACGAGAGTGTGATGGTCAGGTTTGCTGTTTTCTTTACCCCACTCTCAAGTATATATACCAGCACACCTCTCAGTAGCAATCAAAAAAAAAAAACCCAGTGGAAACAAAAAGTAATACATAAATGCTGCTTGGTATGGAGTACAAAATGGCACCTGGAAACAAGCCACAGAGAGCTCCTGCAAACATGAAAGAAGTCTCCACAGCTCACCAGCAGTGCCTAAATTAATGCGGAAAGGCCATTTGCCTTGCTTTTAAAACAGAGAATTTCATTTTGGTATTTCAGATATTTTTCCTAGGCTAGGCTTGAACATGAACTGCATTTAAAGACAATGACAAAGTATTGTTTAACATTTACAAGTATAATCAAAGTATTTATTACTGCTGAAGAATACAAACATCAGGAATGTTTGATATTAAATGAAACTTGCTTTTAACAAGCTACTATTCTTGCTAGATTATTAGAGTATTCTTAAAATGCTACTTTTAAAAAGGTTCCTAGTCATAAAAATACATAATAGCAGATGGGCTAAGGTGTAGTGATTGACATGAAAAATGCAAAGTTACAATTTACCCAGTTATGTAATACTATGGTGCTATTATCTGCATGAAGAAAAAATAAACTCTAAATAATGTTAAGAGATCAGTAAGACTACAGGTCTAATTTTTAAGCAACTGTATCTGTTTTACACAGAATTATCTTAGTTCAGTAGGGGCTAAGAATTTTAAAAACTATCCTCTGCAAAGATCAGTTAGACTAGGTTAAGCCTTCTCCAATAACTTCTGATAAAATGTCTGCTCTCAGCAAAGGTTAAAATATCACATCTTAATTCCAATATTCAATCAAAATAAGCTTCTGAACTGATGCATTAAAATAATCCTCATCTTTTATTTGTACACATATATTTAAATAGTAACAAAGATTTAAAATTATATTCAGGAAGTCAATAGCTAGAAATCTGATTCAAAGGTATGGATTAAAAAAAAAAAAGTCTTTTCCTGAGTGATCTTTACATAAAGATTTTGTAATTACATTTGCCAGCACCACTAAACAAACATTCTAATTGTTTTTTATATATTGTCTTTGATCTTCTAAAGAACTTGAAAAACATTATTTAAGAACATAGTTTTCAGATAACAACAATACAAAGGTAACCTTTTTCGGTGTTGAGATATTGGACTTCTCTGAACTGATACTGTGTTTAGAAGTGGGGCTGCTGGGAACACGCTGAGGATCAGGAAGAGGACGACCTTCTACTTCAGCTAAGATGCATTCTTGGTAAAGAGGGGATTTGAGAAAGCGAGTATAGCTATCAAACTTCATCAAGTTAAATATCTGAAATTAAAATGCAATGGATAATGGTTACATAAGCTTAAATAACACATCAAGAAAATGAAGCTATTTCACAACAGCCAAATCCCACAAAATTTAGGACATTAATCTGTAAATAGTAGTAGGCATGACTTTGTTTAGACCTGGTTAAATACACTGCACTAGTGAAACATAATTTGATCTATTCCCCTAGCACAGGTTCAGAAAAATGCTATGATTTGTGCAAAGTGCATGAGAGGCTGAGATGCTGTAGGGTCTTGACCACACCATCCTCATAGCCATCTTTTACTGCATTTATGCCTTTGTACGTTCTATACGAAGCGTGTAGCAAGCTAGCCATTTAAAATATTTTTTTAAAGATTATTACATCAGTACTATATGTGACAGGATTAAATTATACAAGTGTGTTTTAAGGTAGCTTTTGTTTATGGTCTAAAACTCAGGAATATGATATAATCACAATATTCAATAGTATGCAATGATACAAAATATACAAGGTTAATTACTGGTGCAGGGAGGAGCAGAGAGTCCTTTACAGTATTATGTAATGCTCATGTGCCAAATCATATGGGAAAAAAAAGATCAATATCTTTGGAAGATTCAATAATCAAGGCGCTGTAAAATCAAGACCTTGAAAAAGAACAGTTTACATAAAATGGCTGCTCTGGGCAAGACCAACATTTATCTTTAACTACATAGGAAGGAAGCAGCTCTATACCAGGCCTAAAGCAAATGTCTGAGGCTAATTTAGCCAAAGCTAAATTTATGAAACTAAAGGAAGAAAAGTTCTTTCTAAAATGCTAAACAATGTTTGAATTTCTTGTTCCATTTTTGCAAACCTATAGTTTTAAGTGAATTCATACTTTTACCTTTATATCTTCTCCAGTGATTCCCTTGATCTGAAAAAACAGTATGAATGCCTTCTTCTTTGGACATGACAAATTCCCTAGAAGCGAAGAACGGTATGCGCCACCCAACTGGTTATGGCATTCCCAAGAGTCTACAGGGAAGTCCATCACTAAGCCACAGTGGCCCGGTTTCAGATGGAAATCATTTTTCAGATTGTGCAGAGACAGCCTTCTCAACAAGCATTAGCCCAAAGCTTTTCTGGCAAACAGCAAGATGCTGCAGTGTCATAGAAACCTAATTCAAACTGAATGCTGACTGCCACATTCTTGCCTTCCCCCCATATATTCCCACTCCCTCTTAGGTGCTACCTGTTGCGTTTGTTGGGCCTTCTAACAAACTGTTTTCCACATGGTGAGCTACGGAAAAAATACTTTTGTAGGGTTAGTTTTGAAACAGCTCAGCACAAAGACTAATGTGGCCTCAATGCAGTGTCAAAGAGACAATCCGGTGTCAATGCCTCTTCCCACTTGAAAAACTGCTCACAAAGGGGAATGTCTCTCTCATGCTATGAAAGATGCAATCCTCTGACCACAGGTACTGGCAAAATTCATAAAGTCAGCTAGTTTCAGAGCACACGTAGTCTTTAGGTCAAGGCTCAACAAATTATTCAGTGTACACAGCGCACGTAGCTTGGAAATGTTTCTTGAGTTCTGCTGAACTCAAAGAGTAACACTCTGGTGTATTGCCAAAATAGCGTAAAATACAGAGGAGCAATTACATGATATCAAAATGCCTCAATCTCACAGACTCATAGATGAACTGCTGATACAAAGTTAGTTATTGGGGGAAAATATTAGGTAAGTGCAGTCTGCACACACCAACACAGATGCAAAAGCCAAGCTAACTGAAAAATACAAAATACTTCACCTGTCCCTGAGGTTTTCAAGGAAATGAAATGTATAGAGGTTACACTCAACAAATCACAATATTTTAAGCTAAATGCAATCTGTGTCCCCAAAAGATAAGACACTTTTCAGAGTTGTCTCCTGTCACAGAATCTAGCACCAAAAGAAGAGAAAATTGTTATTCCATGCTAAGTAGTTCTCTGCGGTATTTTCCTTTATTCTTCCTAAGAGACACAAACACAGTTACTGCAGAGATGAAGTCTGCAGATTAAATATACTTAATACAGCAAAAACATTCCAAACTTTTAACTTTGCTAGACAGAGTGATGACAGCTTAACTACTTTATCTTGAGCTGATCGTCATTTGCCCCACTACATTGCTAGCCCACACTGCATCCCCAATTTCCTACAGTTAGCATTATTATCATATTAATTTACACGTTAATGCTTCTGCTTATTGGAAAAATCTAGCAGATGCTATTTCTTGTTCTTACAAATGAGAAAGAGAAATATAGCTTATAAAAGCATAATTTGAAAAGCACAATTTGAACTTTATACGTAAACAAGAGTAGAAAAACTTACATCCATTTATGCAACTCTACATAAAGTAAATGATATTTTATTCTTATTTTAGTATCTTCAAGTGACCTACAGTGTCTTGCTTCCAGAAACACTCAAAAATACTTGTTCTCATTCTATGACAAGAAACAGTGAAATCCTAACTAGACATTTTGGCTACATCCACACTGCCATATTACAACACCTCTAACAACAGGCTCAAGGGCAAATTTGTCAGGCTATGGACAGAAAGCAACTTCCAGCAGCGTTCCCAACAGGCAGTGCTTGACAGCTAAGGGTTTCAGCAGTGCTCTCCAAGGCACTTTCCCACACACACTTCTGCAACTCCACTGCAGCCTTACAGCAGCTCTCCCTATTCCCCAGCATCAAATAACACTTTTCCGACGACCACCACAGATCAGCACCCTTGCACTCTATGCTCAGGGCTGAAATCTAAAAAGCTGTGAAAGACCACAAATGCAGAGCCTTTGCATTATTAATATGGTGTCACCACCGCGAGCTGAACTTTGAAAGTCTCCGGGTGTGTTGTGCTAACTACACAGACCTACAGTTCTCTGTTCCCGAGGTCATACCACTCACCAAGACCACAAAAGCGATCCACTGCAGAACCACCACTTAGTGAAACCAAGATATTAAGGGCCATCAAGGCAGCTGATTACCCAGCACCGACTTCAGCCAGGCAACACATCATTAGTACCTCAGCTGGCACACCTAGCTTCAAGGCTGCTTACTTTGGCAGGAGTAACTCTCATCCTGCTTCACCTAATTTTTCAGTGGGAGGAACGGGCCTGAGGGATGTGATGAGAGAAGTACTGAGGCATTGACAATTTGAGAGAAGCAGGTGAGGTCCGGACAGGCCACGTGGCTGGGGTTAGACCCACAGCAGCACTTCACATCAGCATTTTCACCCACCTTATGAGCCCTCCAAACTAAGGACACCGCATTTTCAAAGAAGGAAGAAAACCTGCATCAGCCCAGCCACCAGACTCCTAAGAACACCATCTGCTCCACCAAACAACTGGGAGAGGATGATGAGGAATTCCGGCATGGACTCCACAAAGCCAAGATGAGGAATGCATGAAAAACTGTCTGGGAAGATCGTGGCTGGAAATTACCACAGAAGTCTCAGGCCGTGGTAGGTGCATGGGGGGTAGCTATAATGCTAGAAGCTACCAGACCAGCAGTTAGACCTATCAGCAGTTATCTCCACTTCACAAATGGAGGAAGATACTATACCCACCTGCACAGATTGCCCCAAAAGCATGGTATCAGAGGTTGCACGAAGACTAAGATTGTGACCTTCTTCATTTATGCAGAGATAGATAGATAGATAGATAGATAAAGCTATATCCTTGATTTCTAAATACCGTGATCTCAAAATTATTTCTACTAATAGGGTGGGAGAGTTACCAAAGAGATTACTTAGGAGAAAAAAGAAGAAACTTAAATTCTACAGAAAACGTAAAGTGTATCCTGTTGTTACATAACTGTTCTGTTCTGAACATCAATAATTGTTTAAAATACATCCACTTCAGAGGTCTTCAGACACCAACAAGCTCTTTCTCTGACAGTTCTATTAAAGCATAAGGGAAGGACTCCTTTAATACAACAGACATATTTTTACAAACCACTTTAACCAAAATTACACACTATTTGTGTACACAATTGTCCACTAAAGAAAAGAATAAGCAACCATATGCAAACACCATATGCAATGGTGTTGCAACACATGGAATTATTTACTTGCACTAAACCTTCATTTCGATTATAATATATTTCAGATTATTTTTTAGTTAATGGCAATTTTCTACACATATGCAAATATACATAAAAACAGTCAAGCAGCCTTCCATAATACAGCCTTTTTCTATTCTGCTAACAGAATCTATATGATCTTGACTTCAATGTCTTTTTATATGTAGTAAAATATACAGCATGTGAAACTACTTTTATAGATTTTTAAAGCACTTCAAAGGAAAAGAGACATAAATGTACAACAGTCATGTTTTCTATGGTTACCTGAAGTTGCTGTTCCTTGAACATATCTGGATGCGGAGAATTGAGAATATCATCTGCCAACTGTGCCTGGCTATCAATATTAACTGGGGTTGTAGCTTTGCTACACAAGAACTTACTGAAGATCTCCCGAGCTCTGTAGGAAAGCTACAGAAAAGAAATGCTAAATGTATGTTTGCTTTAAAACCATATTTTCAGAGTTATTTCTTACACTGATATATTCCATCCAAAAATATACAGCCATTCCAGTTTCCTTAATATATAAGCTATATATATATA